AGGGAAAGATGAACACAGGTCCAGGGGTTCCAAGGTCCTGTCCACATCAGCCAGTCCTGTGGTGCCCTCGCCAAGGGCAATGAAGCTATCGTTACCTTATAGCAGTGGCACTGCTGTCATTAGTCAGGCCTTTGAGGCCAAGCTGCGCAGCCCTGTCTGAGCACTGAGGCTCCAGGTTCGCTCCTCTCCATGCACTTCATGAGGCAGCAGGTGAGGAAGGCCCTGGCAAGTAGGCGCTGGTGCAGCTGACATTGGAGGCAATCACCGTAGCCTTGAAGCATGTCTCAGGCTTGCACGTGAGATCACTGGGCACCGAGCTCCACCATTTGGTGGCCTGAGGGGTAGTGGAACTCAACAACAGTCTCCAGGGAAATGCCATCACCACAAAAGTTTTGAAAGGTGCCATGCAGGTACTGCCACCTGCAAGCACAAGTACCGGTGCTGTTCCAGGGACAGGCGTGGCATTCCAGTCTGCATCTCCACCTTGCCCTATGTGGAGGGCTGCTCTATACATCCCTGCATGCTATGCCGAGACCCCTTTCCTAGTTTTTAATAATTCCACCTTTAATTTGTTATGCTATAAGTCCCATTATTAATTCCAACAGCAACATAAGGAAGACAAAACTTTAGAGGTCTTTTTAGTTACCTGTGGAGTTTAAACACTTAGTAGACTAGAGCTATAGAATTTCCTGACTAAAAAAACATCCATATGAGCCCTGGCTGGTTTTCTTAGTGGTTAGAGCATCAACCTGCAGACTGATGTGAAGAGTCAGGGTTTGATTCCTGGTCAAGGGCACGTACCTTGGTTCCAGGTTCCCCAGCCCTCCTACGGGATCTTGCGGGAGGCAACCAATCAATGTGTCTCTCTGATGTCAATGTTTCTCTCTTTCTCCCCCTCCCTCCCTTCAACTCTCTCTAGAAATCAATGAAAAAAATATCAGGTGAGGATTAAAATAAATGACATTCATATGAAAAAGCAAATATGCTATGTTGGGTATAGGTTCTAAGCTGAGTAATCATGATGAGGATAGTATGTGACAACACAAAACTCTGTTCACTTATTCCTTCCTTCACGCAAATATTTAATGAAGATTATGTACCCAGCCTTATGCTAGGAACTTCTGATATAACAGTCATCATAAATAGACTTGCTTCCTGTTCTCATGGAACTTACTTAGTCTAGTGGAAGAAACAAGCATAAATCAAATCATTGCAAAAAAATTTAATGTGTAGCTAAAATTGGGATCAGTGCTGTGAAGAAAATTATTCTGCAAGCAAAGGAAGTTTTTAAAAAAATAACAGCATGTTCAGATCTGCAGATTAGGGTAAGAAAAAAATATTATAGTTAAGTGAAATTACAGTGTAGAGAGATACTTACGGCAGTAAGACCAAATAAGTACATAGAATTACAATGTTAACATTCTTCAAATTCTTATAAAAGGTACCAAGGAATTTTCAGTGATTACAAATCTAAGGCCAGTTTTATGGCTGATGTCCTCAAAGCACTTTGGTCTTGCCATAGCCCAGGGCCTTGGTTCTGTTTTATTAGACTGGGGAAGAAAGTGATATGGCAAAATTGTACTCTTTCCAGACTGTTGACTGTCTGGGACAGCCGTGGGCAAACTACCGCCCACGGAGCCAAAAGAGCGGAGGGTTCTCTTGCTCTCCCCTCCGCTCCTTCACCAGCAGCAGTGTTAACATGGCAATGTCGGGAAACACGGCCGCAGCTCCTTCTTCTGAGTCCAGTTTAAGAACCCATTGTGGCCCTCGAGTCAAAAAGTCTGCCCACCCCTGGTAGACACTGCTGAGTGAGTAATATCAGAGCCTTTTTCTATCGGGTCTTCTTTCTATGACCCTGCCAAGACTTCAGAGTCAAGACTATCAGCATCATGGTCAGTATAGCTCTCCATTTATTTCAGAAGAGAAGACTCTACTCACCTGATTATCGAGTTTCAGCTGTCGAAGCTTCATAGCCTCATCTTCAAAGGCACTGTTTTGAAAAAGTGGAAAAAAACATGTATAGAGAAAATCCTTTTAAAACCATGTCAATTTTATCTTTTCCATGTATTACCATGGGCTATTTGGAATCAATGAATTCTGCCTTAGGGAAAGCATCAGTTTTAGAATGCTGCCCATACTGACTTGCCATCCTTACTGCCACAGTTACTCCACAGAGGACCTGAGGATATTTTTGCCATTGATTATTAGAGTGAGTGGAAGGGAGGAGGAGACAGAAAAAGAGAAACATTGATGTGAGTGAGAGTGACACATCAATTGGTTGCCTCCAGAACTCCCCCCGACTCACATGGGGTGGAGGTGGGGGGCAGATCGAGCCTGCAACCAAAGTACATGTGCCCTTGACTGGAACTGAACACACAACCCTTCAATCTGAAAGCCAGCACTCTAACCACTGAGCAACCGGCTAGGGCAACAGGTGTTTGTGTGTGTGTTTTTTATGGAAGAAAACAACAAAAATGGAATCAAATTCATCTTCAATTGATAAATCAAATCCTTTTGAACTTTTTTTAAAATATATTTTTATTGATTTCAGAGAGGAAGGGAGAGGGAGAGAGAGAGAGAAACATCATTGAAAAGAGAGAATCATTGATTGGCTGCCTCCTGCACACACCCTACTGGGGATCCAGCCTGCAACGGGCATGTGCCCTTGACTAGAATTGAACCCAGGACCCTTCAGTCCACAGGCAAATGCTCTATCCACTAAGCCAAACTAGCTAGGGCCCTAATTTTTAACTTTTTAAAAACTCTCTCTGAAGCCTTTTCCTAATTTAAGATTTTATTTTGTTACCCAACATTACTGGAAAGAATAAACTATAAAACAAAGCAGAAATGATCCTAAATTACTTGTATTACAAACTTTTACTGGGAGCTTACAGTTGGTTGGAGCATCGTCCCATATGCTGGTCCAGGCACATACCCAGGTTGGGGTTCCATTCCCAGTCAGGATGAGGACAGGAGGCAGCCAATCTATGTTTCTCTCGCACATCAATGTTTCTGTGTGTGTGTGTGTGTGTGTGTGTGTGTGTGTGTATGTATGTTTCTCCCGTCTCTCTAAAAATCAACAGAAAACATATCCTGGGATGAGGATTTTTTTAAAAAAAGAAAGAAGACAAATTCCATGGCTACAAAGGCAAGCATGGCTTTTCCTGCATTTGGGGTAAATACACCAAAGTATCTATCCGTGGTTTAATGGTTTAACCCAGCCATGGGCAAACTACTGCCCGCGGGCCGGATCCGGCCCGTTTGAAATGAATAAAACTAAAAAAAAAAAAAAAGACCATATCCTTTTATGTAATGATGTTTACTTTGAATTTATATTAGTTCACACAAACACTCCATCCATGCTTTTGTTCCAGCCCTCCGGTCCAGTTTAAGAACCCATTGTGGTCCTCGAGTCAAAAAATTTGCCCACCTCTGGTTTAACCACTACATTCCTACATTTTAGAAGGTTTTATGCATTTTAATAATGCATAGCAACCTGGAATTTGCATACCGTCTCCAAGACTCTTCCTGCCTACTAACCCTTTAGCCATAAGTGTAGAGGAGCATTCTCATTCTCTGACAATCTCCTCTATTAACTCCCTTATATCCTTTATGTTTAAAAAAACACACTGGATATTCAAAGGAAACCATCTCCTTTTTCCTGCTTAAAAGAAAGATAAACAAATAAAAATGCCAGGTACAATTCTGGCCTCAGCTCTGTGGGCACCTACATTTCTCCTATATATGTTCCTGTTTTCCTTAATGTCATTAATACTCAATCACGGTGGAGAACCAAGATGGCGGCATAGGTTAACTCCGGAGTTTGCTGCCTTGAACAACCATTTCAAAAGTGAAACTAAAAGACAGAAGGGACATCATCCAGACCCACAGGAACGCTGGCTGAGTGGAAGTCCTACAACTAGCAG